ACCAGCCATCCCCTGCCCACTCATCACCAAACTTCCCACTCACCACCACACCACCCTCACCACACCGCCCATCAGCCTCTAACGCCGGTACACGACAGAGCCAGGTGGCGGAGTTAACGCTACGAGGCGGTGATATTAATGAGCAGATATATGGTGGCGTCAGGTGTTCGGGCGGCGATGGTGGTAGTGTCGAGCTGCCCTCATCCGCGACGCCCGTGCCCGCTACACCCATACCCAGGGTCCTGTATGGTGCACACACACACACACACATCACAAGGTGTGGTGACACGTGTTGTGGTGCAGTCACACACACACTTCACAAGGTGTGGTGACGGGCGTGTTGTGGTGCCGTCACACACACACTACACAAGGTGTGGTGACGGGCGGATAGCAGTGCCGTCACAACACTATACAAGGTGTGGTGACGGGATGTTGTGGTATCATCCACAACACTATACAAGGTGTGGTGACAGGCTTTGTTGTGGTGCACTCTACAAAAGGTGTGGTGACGAGCGTGTGTTATGGTGCCGTCACACACTATACAAGGTGTGGTGACGGGCGTGTGTTGTGGTGCCGTCACACTACACAAGGTGTGGTGACGGGCGAGTGTTGTGGTGCCGTCACACACACTACACAAGGTGTGGTGACGAGCGAGTGTTGTGGTGCCGTCACACACACTACACAAGGTGTGGTGATAGGCGAGTGTTGTGGTGCCGTCACACACCATACAAGGTGTGGTGACGGGCGTGTGTTAATAGTGGTGCCGTCACACACACTACACAAGGTGTGGTGACGGGCAGTGTTGTGTCACAACACCACAAGGTGTGGTGACGGCGTGTGTTGTGGTGCCGTCACACACTACATGTGTGGTGACGGGCAGTGTTGTGGTCCTATCCACACTACACAAGGTGTGGTGACGGGCGTGTGTTGTGGTGCCGTCACACCACTACACAAGGTGTGGTGACGGGCGTGTGTTGGTCTCGTCCCCACAGGTGTGGTGACGGGCGTGTGTTGTGGTGCCGTCACCTAACACTCCTGGTCACCGGCCTGGCAGGGGAGTTGACACCCAGGTGGTGGGGACATCGCCTGGCCACAGGACGAGCAGAGCGTCGGGCCGACCCTTCTGACAGTACACAGGTGTGAGAGGCAGCGGATGGGTGGTGTGAGAGGCAGCGGACAGGTGGTGTGAGAGCAGCGGATGGGTGGAGCAGACGGGTGGTGTGAGCAACGGACGGGTGGTGTGGGCAGCGGACGGGTGGTGGCACGGACAGGTGGTGTGAGCAGCGGACAGGTGGTGTGAGCAGCGGACGGTGGTGTGAAAGCAGACAGGTGGTGTGAGGCAGCGGACGGGTGGTGAGGCAGGGACGTTGTGAATGCAGGACAGGGGTGAAGGCAGCAGACAGGTGGTGTGAAGCGCGGACGGTGGTGTGAAGGCAGCGGACAGGTGGTGTGAGCAGCGGACGGGTGGTGTGAGGCAACGGACGGGTGGTGTGAGCGGCGGACGGGTGGTGTGAAGGCAACGGACGGGTGGAGAGTGGACGGCGGACAGGTGGTGTGAGAGGCAGCGGACGGTGTGAGGCAGCGGACAGGTGGTGTGAGAGGCAGCGGACAGGTGGTGTGAGAGGCAACGGACAGGTGGTGTGGTGAGAGGCAAAGTGGACAGGTGGTGGAGAGGCAGACAGGTGGTGTGAGAGGCAGCGGACAGGTGGTGTGAGAGCAGCGACGGTGGTGTGAGAGGCAGCGGACGAGTGGTGTGAGAGACAGCGGACAGGTGGTGTGAGAGGCAGCGGACAGGTGGTGTGAGAGGCAGCGGACAGGCGGCGTGAGGCAGCTAACATGATGTAGGTTTTTCCCATGTGTTAACTCTCCCCAACACACTACACCCCGGCCATCATGTTAACTCTCCCCCACACAGGCCATCATGTTCTCCCCACACACTACACCCCCGGCCATCATGTTCCCCCACACAGGCCATCATGTTACTCTCCCCCACACACTACACCCCGGCCATCATGTTAACTCTCCCCCACACACTACCATGTTAATTCTCCCTCTCAAAATTATCATAACTGATTACATGATAGTTACGAATGGCAGTAATTATTGTAAACAAAAATGGCTGCCCCTCGAGATCAAGGATGTCCGGCCCAAGGGCCTCCTAGGCGTGAATTTGTTAAGGTGTAGAAGCTGTCGCCAACACAACAACCACACCCTGAGTTAACGAGCTGTATGACCCAGTGTTTAAGGTGTAGAAGCTGTCGCCAACACAACAACCACACCCTGAGTTAACGAGACCCAGTGTTTAAGGTGTGCAGAAGCTGTCGCCAACACAACAACCACGCCCTAAGTTAACGAGCTGTATGACCCAGTGTTTAAGGTGTACAAGCTGTCACTAACACAACAACCACACCCAGAGTTAACGAGCTGTATGACCCAGTGTTTAAGGTGTAGAAGCTGTCACCAACACAACAACCACGCCCTAAGTTAACGAGCTGTATGACCCAGTGTTTAAGGTGTAGAAGCTGTCACTAACACAACAACCACACCCTAAGTTAACGAGCTGTATGACCCAGTGTTTAAGGTGTAGAAGCTGTCACTAACACAACAACCACACCCTAAGTTAACGAGCTGTATGACCCAGTGTTTAAGGTGTAGAAGCTGTCACTAACACAACAACCACACCCCTGAGTTAACGAGCTGTATGACCCAGTGTTTCAGGTGTAGAAGCTGTCACCAACACAACAACTACACCCTAAGTTAACGAGCTGTATGACCCAGTGTTTAAGGTGTAGAAGCTGTCACCAACACTATAATCACACCCTAAGTTAACGAGCTGTATGACCCAGTGTTTAAGGTGTAGAAGCTGTCCCCAACACAACAACCACACCCTGAGTTAACGAGCTGTATGACCCAGTGTTTAAGGTGTAGAAGCTGTCGCCAACACAACAACCACACCCTGAGTTAACGAGCTGTATGACCCAGTGTGTTGTCGGCGAGCTGTATGACCCTGTCACCCCTAACGAGCTGCATGACCCAGTGTTTATGTAGAAGCTGTCGCCAACACAACAACCACACCCACCCTAAGTTAACGAGCTGTATGACCCAGTGTTTAAGGTGTAGAAGCTGTCACCAACACTATAACCACACCCTAAGTTAACGAGCTGTATGACCCAGTGTTTAAGGTGTAGAAGCTGTCGCCAACACAACAACCACACCCTAAGTTTACGAGCTGTATGACCCAGTGTTTAAGGTGTAGAAACTGTCACCATCACAACAACCACACCCTAAGTTTACGAGCTGCATGACCCAGTGTTTAAGGTGTAGAAGCTGTCACCAACACAACAACCACACCCTAAGTTAACGAGCTGCATGACTCGGTGTTTGAGGTGTAGAAGCTGTCACCAACACTACAACCACACCCTAGGTTAACGAGCTGCATGACCCAGTGTCAAGGAACAGTCCGAAAAAACCGGACAACTCGCCAACTGCACTGGCTAACCATTACCCCGGAACACGATCCCCAAATCGATTAACATCCAGGTTCCCAATTACTGCTGGGTAGACAGAGGCAATTGGCGTAAAGAAACTTGCCCATAGTTTCACCCTGCCCGGGGATCGAACCCGGGTTCACTCGCTTGCGAGGCGAGTATGCTGACCATTACACCACAGGTCACAACAACTCTGATGTTATTTGACACAGCAGCTGATGTTATGAATGTTGTGAGTCTGATATATGACACACAACTACTCTTATATGACACATGAAGAGTTGTAAGATTATGATGGTTGTGTTATATGTGTTATAACTCCCCCCAGAGGTACAAGAATGTTACAACAGTCACAACCCTCAACTGTTGGACCTCTAACGGAAGTAACACAGTTGTATTGAAACGTAATGAAACCTAACCTAACCTAGCTTAACTAATGTAGGTCAGGTTTCAGCCCTTTTAAATACCACCGGGTAATTCACGTATAGGATTCGAGCCCGGATTTCGTGGTCAACATGTGATCAGAGAAACCACCAAACCACTGGAGGATCTCGCCAGGTAAAACAAGGAGGCCCCCCATGATATAATTCTGGGTGACGTACAGTGACCGGCGGACGAACAGGTACTGTCAACATGTACACTAGCTTCAAAAAGTTTCTTCACAGTTTTGTGTCAGATAATATGACACACAACGGACGAAGGATTTTGACAACCCTACCGAGACAGTCTTCACTTTAGAATTCATCGGACCTCCTCCGTGAGGATACCTTGTGGAGCGAGTGTTTACACGCAAATCAAAAAATATCTTTACGGGGGGAGGAGGTCCAATGAATTTGAAAATGAACACTGTGACTCCTGTTGTCTCGGTAGGGTTGTCAAAATCCTTCGTCCGTTGTGTCATATTGTCTAACACAAAACTGTAAAGAAGCTTTTTTGGTCGTGTTGTAGTACACGTTGGGCCAGAAGACACACACCATGTACCACCTTACTAAATATCTTAATCTTGCTTTAAGGTGTATTGAGGTTGATTGAGAAAAAGTAAAGGCTTGATTATATTCTAATGAGTAAAAGGTGAGGTACTTGAGTTACTAATGAACGATACACACACAGATAACTCAGGTCGCCCTCACAGTAAACTCAACTGTATCTTTGATATTTTGTTAATCTTTCTCTCATAACATATCACAAAGATATATCAAGAAATATTCCTTCACACACGGCAGTCTTGACGAGGTGTGCCATAAAGCGTCCTGTATGGCTCTAGTAACTGCTGCAGATAATTGACCCGAACATTGCCAAATCACTCATCAATGGACAGAACGTTCACCACTGTTCATATTTCCTGTGAACACTAAACACGACTTCCTCTCAACACTGAACTGTTCTGGTAGACCTTAGTATGATAGAATAACAACTTACCTGTAGATGAGGAGGATAGTACCTGCGGGAGTACAGTAACTGCAGGGGAATAGTACCTGCAGGAGGATAGTACCTGCAGGGGGGGACACTTACCTGGCGTAGGCGGTGCTGGAGACTCCACGTCCACTATGAGGGAGCCGTCATTACTGGCATCATCCAGCAGAAGACTGGTAGTGACGGACACCTGCAACAACAACACATACAGTTACTTCCTCCTCATACACACACACACACACACACACACACACAAACTTGGGCCTTCCAAGTCGAAGATCTATCTGTCTTTCTGGTTTTCTAGCGCTCATACCTACAACCTATAACTTTGTATGTATGTATATATGTATGTATGTATGTATATATGTATGTGTATCTTACGCTTGTGAGACCTCACTTGGATTATGCAGTTCGGTTCTGGTCACCGTACTACAGAATGGATAAAGAATCCCTAGAAAGAATTAGGGGAGAATGACAAGACTAATCCCGAGCATTAGGAACCTTGAGTACAGAGACAGGTTAACATAAGAACATAAGAATGGAGGAAACTGCAACGGACCTATTGGCCCATACTGGGCAGTCCCGTTTACACCCAACCCCTATTGCTCATATACCCATCCAACCTATGTTTGAAGCTATCCAGCGTGTTCGAGTTAATGATGATGTTTGGTAACTTGTTCCACTCATCCACTACTCTATTTCCAAACCAGTGTTTGCCTATTTCGCGCCTAAATCTAAATTTGTCTAATTTAAAACCATTGTTTTCGCTCCTGGTTGGATAGTTTGAGTACCTTTGTTATATCACCTTTGTTTAGCCCTGACTTCCATTTATACACCTCGATCATATCGCCTCTCACTCTACGTCTCTCTAGGGAGTGCAAATTAAGATGCTTTAACCTGTCTCTGTGCTCAAGGTTCCTAATGCCCGGGATTAGTCTTGTCATTCTCCTCTGAATTCTTTCTAGGGATTCTTTATCCATTATGTAATACGGTGACCAGAATTGTACTGCGTAATCCAAGTGAAGTCTCACAAGCACAAGATATAGTTTTAGGATGACCTCGCTAGTCTTGTAACTAACACTCCTTTGCATGAACCCAAGTACTTTATTAGCCTTGTTACGAGCAAATACACATTGTTTACTTGGCTTAAGATTCCTACTAATCATTACTCCTAAATCTTTCTCATAGTCGGATTTCTCTATAACATCGTTGTTCATCTGATATCTGGTTTCTCTGTTTACATCTCCCAGACTAAGTACTTTACATTTGTTCACATTGAATTACATCTGCCATTTTTCAGACCATTCGAATTAATTTTTTTAGATCTTCCTGTAGTATTCCAGTCCTCGTCAGATTTAATTACACGCCCTATTTTAGTGTCATCAGCAAATTTACTTATGTTGCTGTCTACGCCGATATCTATGTCGCTTATGTATATAATAAATAATAATGGTCCAAGTACTGAGCCTTGGGGTACTCAACTAGTGACGTTAGTCCAATTGGATTTAGTGCCATTAATGCTCACTCCCTGTTTCCTGTCCTGTAACCACGCACTCATCCATTTTAGAATATTTCCTCCAATGCCATGAGTCTCCACTTTTCTCATTAGTCTTTCGTGGGGGACTCTGTCGAAGGCTTTGCTAAAGTCAAGATGTACCACATCATAGTCGAGCTCCTCGTCCACTGATTCGAAAACAGCATCTTAATTTGCACTCCCTCAAGAGACGTAGAGCGAGGGGCGACATGATTGAGGTGTATAAATGGAAATCAGGGCAAAACAAAGGGGACATTACAAAGGTACTCAAACTATCCAACCAGGAGAGAACTCGTAGCAATGGTTTTAAAAAAGACAAATTTAGTTTTAGGCGCGAGATAGGTAAACATTGGTTTGGAAATAGAGTAGTGGATGAATGGAACAAGTTACCAAACATCATCATTAACTCGAACACGATGGATAGCTTCAAGCATAGGTTGGGTGGATATATGAGCGATAGGGGCTGGGTGTAAACGGGACTGCCCAGTATGGGCCAATAGGCCCGCTGCAGTTTCCTCCATTTTTATGTATGTATGTATGAATGTATGTAGGTGGGAAAACTAATCCCCCAAGGCACTGAAGAAAGATTGGCTGTCCAATACACCAGAGTTTAGGCATTACAGCATGATGGCACTCACAATAGACCACCTCACTAAAATACCGAGTGTTATTCGTGGCACTGTGGGCGTGAATATTGGGTGGGAAGTGGAAGGTGGTAGTGAGTGAGTGAGTGTGTGTGTGTGACAGGTGCCACTCACACACACCATCATTACTGGCAGGTGCCGAGACCCAACACGTTAAGTGGTGTTCCCGCCCCCATTCTATTAATGGGCGTTAATTGGGGTAATGGGGCCAGATAAGGGGGGTTAGTAATCCTATTAAGGGGGCCATAGTATTAGGTAAGGGCCTCTAGTGCAAGATAAAGAGTTAAATTTCACATTGTGGTGTTTTTTAGTTTATTTGTGGGTTTTAAGACAGGGTACTGAGTTTTAGGGGTGAGGTACTGGCGCTTACAATACGCAGCTCTCCATTCCAGGCCAGACACGCCTTTGACAATACTGTGTGTGTGTGTGTGTGTGCTGTAACCCACACACACACTAGGCCTATGTTCAACCTTAAATCCATAAATAATTAACCAGGTGAGTATTTACCAGGTAACACGAGAGGGAGTGAATAATAGCGGCAGGGAGACGTGAGCCTAATACTGTGTGTGTGTGTGTGTGTGTGTGTGTGTGTGTGTGTGTGTGTGTGTGTGTATGTGTGTGTGTGTGTGTGTGTGTGTGTGTGTGTGTGTGTAAAGTAAACAGTGGGTAAATAAATAATAAAAATAAAGATAGCGATAAAAGACAAAAATAACAACGACTAGAAGTGGAAATTTAATGCAATGTATGAGTACGTTGGACACCCGGGCCCCCTCCGTCAACCCAGCTGTGAATAAGCACCTGACGTGTGTTTCGGAGGTGAAGGTGGTTGAGTAAGTCCAGTACCAGCCACACTAGCTCCTTGTGTATGCAGTGTACTATATCCACACTACTCTGAATGACCTATGGGACTCACAGTTGATGGAATAATGATACTGCGTAGGGTACACTGGTTGAAGCCAGAGAGAGAGAGAGCAGTACCCCTTTATCCACACAACACCTTCTCGTACACCAGCGGTAACAGAAGTATGGTAGTGTAACACATCACAAATTGTCACACACTCAGGCACGACATGAATCATGGTGAAAGAAAATCGGAGGCTAGGTGAGGTGAGGTGAGGTGAGGTGAGGTAAGATGAGGTGAGGTGAGTAGCAGGAGACAACCCAAACAGCTACCGGGAGTCACCGTGGGCGCCCACCTACAACATAACGCTGACAAACATTACACAGGACCTTGGTAGTGTGTCTGTGGCCGGAGGTGGATGCCAAAAATTATACGTAAATCTTCACTGCAGATAACGTGACACACACACACACACACACACACACACACACACACACACACAGCTGCCTCGGGGACAAGTCACTCACTAGCTGCAGGCAACTCGACATGTTTTCTCATCACCCCTCCCTCTCACCCCCAATTCCTTCTCCAGGTGTGGCGGAAAGTAGGAACGGTGTACACTGAACCTGTCTCTACCTCTCGATAATGTTACGTTATAAAGTTTTATTCCTAACACCCACTCTTATCTCCCCTCCTCACCCCCTTCACAGCATCCCTCACCAAGACCATCACCATCTCTCACATCTGCTCTCCCTCCCCCACAGTTCATCCGCCTCACCTTTACCAGGTTACCCCCACACCCCCACCACCACCGCCTCAGTCTTATTATCATTTATCATTATTAATATTTGTCCTCCATAACTCGTTCTCACAGGTAACACTAGTCACTGTCCAGCCCTTTAAATTACCTCCCACAGTTGACCCAGCTGAGATTGGGTACCGGCCTCTAGTCGGGAAGGTGAAGGTAGTTCTTCATACCCCATCAATTCGCCCCACCCCACCCGCTCCGCCCCGCCCCTAACCTCTTCCGCCCCGTCCTCCTCTCGTTCTCCACCCCACCGGCCCCGCGGGTGGTCGCTCTGGGTCCAGGATAATCCACCTGTTTGCTGGGTGAGAGGCAATTACCGCCCCGTGGGTGTCTGGTCGGCAGCACGGGGCAACGCCTTGTTTGTGACCGCCCAGGTGACACTACCACCCATCAACCACACCGATGCTTCCACCCATCACCCACACAGACGATACCGCCCACCACCCACACTGATGCTGCCACCCAACACCCACACAGACGCTACCGCCCACCACCCACACTGATGCCACCACAACCCACACCGATGCTTCCACCCACCACCCACACAGACGCTACTGCCCACCACCCACACTGATGCTGCCACCCACCAACCAAACTGCTGCTGCCACCCACCACCCACACTACACTGATGCTGCCACCCACCACCCACACTGATGCTGCCACAGACCACCCACACTGATGCTGCCACCCACCACCACACTGATGCTGCGCCAGACCACCCACTGATGCTGCCACCCACCACCCACACTGATGCCGCACCACCACCCACACTGATGCTGTCCACCCACCACCACACTGATGCTGTCCACCCACCACCCACACTGATGCTGCCACCCACACTGGTGATACCACCCACACTGATGCTGCCACCCACAACCCACACTGATGCTGGCACCCACCACCCACACTGATGCTGCCACAGACCACCCACACTGATGATACCACCCACCACCCACACTGATGCTACCACCCACAACCACACTGATGCTACCACCCACAACCCACACTGATGCTACCACCCACAACCCACACTGATGCTACCACCCACACCCACACTGACGCTACACCCACCACCACACTGAGCGCTACCACCCACCACCCCTGACGCTACCACCACACCAATAATATTCCACCCACACGAACACAACCACCCACCACCCACACTACCACCCACAGTCAACAGAGCTATCCACCACCCACTAACACTGCCACACCACACTACTGCACACTCCACCACCCACACTAACACAGCCACCACCACCCACACTAACACAGTCAACCACCACCACACTAACACACCCACCACCCACACTAACACACCCACCACCACACTAAGACAACCACCCACCTCCCACCCTAACAC